TTACTTACTTACTTACTTACTTACTTACTGAGAGAGCATGCACATGTGCACCAGTGTGTACGAGCAGGGGAGGGGCAAAGGGAGAGAGAGAATCTTAAGCAGGCCCATGCTCAGAGTGAGCCTGAGGCACAGCTCAATCTCATGACCATGAGATCATCACCTGAACAGAAATCAAGAGTTGGACACTCAACTGATTGAGCCACCCAGGCCCCCCAGACTTGTGGATTTTAAAAACTCATTGTTATAATCCATTACCATTATTCTTTTTGATGTCAAACTGTCCAAAATTGGACCATTGGGAATCTTTTCAAGATTGTTCCTTTGTCCTTTTCACATGACACTGCTAGTTTTTGACTACTTCCTTGCTTTCTGGCATTATAAATATTTGAGGGACACATTGTACTTTCCCTGCTACTGCCTAGAATTAGCTACTTATCTAAGAAACCATGGCTTCTTTGAGTGGGGAATGGTATTTAGAAACCAATATCCAGTCATTAGGTATGCTCATGGCCACTAAAGTGTCTTCATTGGTTGTTTTAATTTTTTATGTTTATTTATTTTTGAGAGAGAGAGAGCATGGGCAGGGGAGGGGAAGATAGAGAGGGAGACACAGAATCTGGAGCAGGCTCCAGGCTGAGATGTCAGCACAGAGCTGGACGTGGGGCCCAAACCCACGAACCATGTGATCCTGACCTGAGTCAAAGTCAGATGCTCAAACGACTGAGCCACTGAGGCGTCACTCTCATTGATTGTTTTATTTGAACATTTAGATTTTCCACTTTTAAAAACCGCTTGTTTTTCAGATCAACCTGGTCATTTTTGATTACCTCTTATTTCCTCAAATTATATTTTAATATCATGTAGCAATAGATTTTATCCAAATGGAATGGGGGAGGAGAAAGAGGAAGAAAAGGAAGAGGAAGAAACTATAGAGAATGAGGAGAAAAAAGGAGGGCACATTCACTTATCAAGTTCTATCAACCTGAAAATACCTTTGCAACTGCTGTGGGGGCTGCTTCAGATCTGTAGAGCTGAATCTATTGCACTTCATTTTGAAGTTTATTGGTGGATATTTGTTGATTGCACCTAGGAAGAGAAAAGTCTGTGATGAGTCTCTTATTCATGGTTATTGACATTACAGCAAACTGTTCTGTATGCAAAGCATCACTTCAACTTTGCAATATTCATAAAAGGAAGATACCAACTAAGGTGGCCATATGAGATGAAAGCAAGTTTCTCAGGGGAGTCTCTAAAACTGGGTTTAGAAAATACATCTCTGCTGAATTTATAGGTGGAGCATTCAACTTACTTTCCAATAGATGCCTTTAGCTGCTAAAGTTGGTCAAACACTAGAGGAGATATTATGAGCCAGTCCTAAAAGTCTGGTCTCTAATTAGCATGAACTAGTCAGAATAGTTATTTCTTTTTTGCTCCTTTGCAATATCAAAATGTAAAGGGAAAGGTATATTCCCTTTATAGTTTCTGTATCATTAACAGTAACAATAGTGCCATCTTGGGTTTAATTCATTAGTGGCTCACTTCATTTGGAGGTATATTAATTTTTTATAATAACAAAGCATGCCTCTGCCCACACAATTTAAACATTTTTTAAAAATTTATTTTGAGAGAGAGAAAGAGTGAGCACGCATGAGCATGCCAATGGGGGAGGGGCAGAGAGAGAGGGACAGAGAGAATCTCAAGCAGGCTCCATGCCGTCAGTGCATGACCCGATGCGGGGCTTGATCTCCTGAACTGTGAGGTCATGACCTGAGCCAAAATCAAAAGTCGGATGCTTAACTGACTGAGCCACCCAGGTGCCCCACACAATTTAAACATCTAGGAGCCATTTTTGATGGGACACTTAAAAAAGTGTATTATTTATTTCCTTGCAGCATTAAATTCAACAGACCTGGTAAACAATTCAATTTCTTCCTTGGTGATCAAGGGTTATTCTAAGTAGCAAGTTTGTCCTGGGTTGTGATACAGCACTGTCTCTAAAGCTGCTGCTGCAGACTGGACTGTGTGATTCTAGACTGAATGGCACAAGGCTATGATCTTTCCCCTCTTGTGCATCTGATTTTTTGTCTTAGTTCTAAGCATCAGGTTCTTTAGCAATTTTGTTTCTCTTAGAAAATTTAAATCTGATGTGGACTGTGCTTGATGGCTACCTCTGTCACTGCATTAAGTGAGTCAGAAAGGGAGCCGCACTAGCTTCTCCAGGAGGGCAGTTACGGTGTCTGTCATGGTCGGTCGCTCCTTGGTAGGCCCACACCTGAACTGCGAGTGGCTCCGAGTAGGTACCTGATAAATATGTGTTGATGTTGAAGGAGTATGAATCCGTGGACTTGCGGTAAGATTATGTTAAAGCCTGTTTCAATTTCTACTTTTACTGCTATATTTTAAAGAGGGGTGGTTTCTAGACACTGAAGTTCTAGAAAAGTGGTGTATAATTGTGTCACAGTAATGGCTTTCTGAAAGCACTTTACAGATCTTTCCCCTCCCCAAGTAATTCTTCTTAAAATGTCTCTTCTCCTTTACCTAGGTGGTAATGGGGTGTTGTCATTTATTTAATTATACAGTTTGGCTAATTCCCGTGAAACACCACAAAGAATTTTGGGGGACTGAGGAAAGAAATTTCATCGTAAATGGTCTTGCAATTTTTTGCCTCAGAAGGAGTTTTTTGTTTGTTTGTTTGTTTACAAGATTCTCAGTCTTCTGACGTTTTCTTTGGCTTTACCCTTACAAATGCCTTGTAATTACTTTTTTCAGAATGATCCCCAGGCCCATTTCCCCCCTTTCTGTTCTCTAGCTCCTGTTTCCGATTCCTATTCCAAAACACATCCACATAAATTTTGTCCTGGGAGACTGTTTCTCCAGTGCTTCTTGAACCATAATGTGCATATGAATCACCTGACGATTTGATAAAAATGTACATTCTGGTTCAGAATGTCTAGAGTAGGGTCTGAAGTTCTGCATTTTTCACCAGCTCCCAGGTAATGCTGATAATGTAGGTCCTAGACTCACATTTGGAGAAGCACAGGACTAGAGGACACAACGTCAGTACCGCCACCAATTTCCCAAGGTTCCTCACGCCTCACCTATACAGGACCAGTCTTTGCAACCTTAACTTGTCTCATTGTGTAATGTCAGTGACAAGTTCGAGACACAATCAGAATCTCCCTTAAGCTACACTGGGGGGTGTTCTTCGGCCTGTGTGTTCATTTTTCTTTATCTGAACTCTACGGGTTCATTCACCATGAAAATGTTCAGAAATCTGATTGAGTACTTTTCAACCTCCAGAGCCATTAGGACATGGCTTCTTTTTACCCGTTCCATCGCATACAAAGTGAACTGCATAGTTTCAAGGCAAAATTATTCCAAGAAATACAGCCCATGTTTCCTTTTTATAGGCACCAGTTACACTAATAGCTGGCATCATAAAAAGTCATTAACAAGGCTGAGAAAGTTTTGCAAGGATGCATGTTTCACTCTGGCAGGTAAAATGGTATCTCCTAATACCTCAAACCTCTGCCTTTGGAACTTGTCAAACAGCAAAGTTGAGAATTGTTCAATTATTCTTTGGCTCTTGCATTCGGTGTGTTAACTGATGAAGCTTTCCATTGAAGGGCAGTGTGTTAATGTTACATGGCAGGGATTTCTACCTTATAGCTAAAGTCCAGGCTGTGACTATATTGCTCTGTGCAGACAGATGTGTGAGCAGCTGCTTGTTATGATTGCTTCTCCATGGGAACCAGAGGCATAAAAAAGATGAGCCAGAAAATTCAATGCCAGAAATCAGAGGTTTCCTCCCTCTACCACCCGTCATTACCAATTTTCCTTTCTGACCTTGCAGTGCCCTTGAAGACAGAGGTTTCCAGGAATACATGTCAGTTCATCAACCCTTCTTTTGGGAATACCAAATATACTTGTAATGTGTAAAAAAAGAACAGATTTTATGACTTACGCCTGATTGAGTTTACAAAGGATCTCACAAACTTCACACTGTATCTGTGGTCAGGTTTATGAATTCGGCCAAGCTGGACCAAGTGGTGATCCAAAGGATAGCTGGCTAAATCTTCCAGTTCCTTGTCATTCCAAGCGGGGCCAAGGGAAAACACAAATAGGGCATAACCTTGACATTTGGCTCTCAAGGATTCTTTCTTTAAGGTTTCCCTGTCCAAGTGACTGGTTTCCCCAGCAGATATCACAAATATGACTTTGTTTCTTCTCATATTGGGTGTATTTAAAAAGATATTATCCAGGGTCCACTGTAAGGCATGACCAATGAAAGCGTCTCCGTTTAGTTGTTGAACTGATTCTTCCAAGTGCCTCTTCATGAGGCGTTTACTGTTGTAGGTGGTAAGGTTGAACTCTGTTCTAACAGGACTCTTCTGAGTGTTGGGGAGGAAGTTGGGGGGAGCATGGCTTAATAGGGCCACCCGGTCTCCAGTGACAGAGGTCTCAGGCTCGGAGGTGATCTCAAAGTGATCTAACAGTGCTCCCAAAAAGTGTCTTATGTCTTCAAATTCAGCACTTCCCACATGGCGGGAGCTGTCCAGAAGGAAAGCAGCATCCACGTACGACTGCACAGGGGGTGGTCTGGCTTGATCGCAAAAAGCATCTGGCTTGCATATATCTGCAGACCAAAAGCCAAGTAAGGTTACTAAAACAGACTGGACAGAAGAGAAAAGATAGCATCTTAAATATTTTAACATTTGGGATCTACATAATCTTTGATATTAAAATAGTTACTAAATACCTTTGATATCAACAACAGAAGATTTCCTAGTACATAGTTGGCATCTATATTTAAAAGGTACAGATTTTATACCCAGCCGGTGTCTTGAATTCCATTCACTAAAGCAGTTTACTTTTAAAACTGAGGCTGCTTTGGACAGAAGCTTAATCTTGGCTGCATTTTAAGTTTATAAAGATTGAAGTAGACAGCTTATCTCATATAAGAGTATACCTTATCATAACATAAAAGCTAATGATCTCTCTAGATACACAAGATACAGGTTAAACCAATGGCCCTTATCATTATTCTCACACTGTTCTACAATGAAAAGTAGTCTGCTCAAAAAGAGTGCAAAAAAGCAATGAATCTTTTACTTCAATTCAAATAAAGGTTTGTAATTCAAAGTCTATCTGGGTGTGGACATTAAGGACAAAGTTGGAGCTCACGTTTGTATCTCCATTGTGCTCATTAGTTGAGAGCTCAATACGTGTGTGTTAAATGAAAATAAATACTGCGTATTAATGGACTTTCATAAAATATGGGGCCATTTTAATACATATGTATATCTCATTTAAAAAAGAATGTGTCGTAATAAAAGCAGAGAGTGAATTTCATTGAATCTGACCACAATGAATATTCAGAGGAATAAAAACAGATTTGGAAGTGGAAGGATCTTAGAAGTCACCTAGTCTCATTATACAGAAGAGACTGGGGGTAAGAGGGTACAATCATTCTGCCAAACAATACCCTAATGTTTCGAGAAGTTCCTACATATGAAATCAGGGTTTATTGTGAGAGACAAGGCCATGTGGTGTGGCAGCAGCAGGGAGGCCCCTTGGCCTGAGAGCCAGGATGTCTTACTGTGCCCAGTAGCAAACCTGCTGTGTGTCCCTACCCAAGTCACCACTGGGCTTCAATTCTGCACACTTGGGTGGGTCATATTTGTCTAAAGAACCCTTCCAGGGATGACCTGTGCAATCCTGAGGTTTTCAGTAATAGTAGATGGTTAAGGATGAGAATGCCTCTTTGAAAACTCAACAGAAGAAAGAGAAACGGAATAACCAGCATGTGGACAGCTGGCACTTAGAAATAGGTCCGGGGGCACGAATCAAAGCAGACAGATGAAAGGTTAATAACCAGAATGCAGATCCTTGGGGACGTAGCAAACTTCCTAACTTCAGTCTTGCTCACAGTCTCCATAAAGATGTGGCTTTGCACAAGTTATGTTACCCTTATCGAAATTCAGTAAAATTTTACGACCACGTTTAACGGTCAGATGACAGAACAGTCACCCGTGTGCAAGGCCGTTTCTAAAATCAGAGACAGAAGGCTGTCCATTTGCTCAATTTTGTGGGGGTTTTTAATTGCAGGAAACTACAGCCAAAATATCTTCGCTTATATGCCTAGGAGACAAAACAAGGATTTGAGCCAAGAAATGGGGCCAAAATCTATCTCCAGTCACACATGTACAACTTCTGGCTGTGCACTATACCAGCACACGTGGTAACTGACATGTCTGAAAGCTCGGCCGAGAGCTGGGGTGGGAGGCCTCTCCCCACAGCACAATTAGCACTGCGGCTGCATTGAGTAGGAAGCCAGTGCCTGGCCAACCCCGTGCCAGAGGGAGAGAGGGAGGGAGAAGAGAAGAGAAGAAGAAAGCCGGAGAGTGAGGGGGGGAGGGAGAGAGAGGGAGGGAGAAAGGAGGGAGAGCGGGAAAGGGTGAGAAAGGGAGGGGAGAGAGGGAGAAAATGGAGG